TCACGGGAAATCAGATCTGCATTAACTGATTTTAAGTACACGGGATCTGAAAAGCGGGGGGATGAGAGTGTGTACATGGCAGGACCCGGTAGTCTTGAGGTCATTTTCCTTGAGGACAACCAAGCAACCATTCGAATCCTTGAGAGTGGTAGGTCACCGTCATTTAGGCACACTGACAAAACCCAAAGATTGAATTTGTCATGGTTGTCTGAACAGTTCAAACGAAAACATTTCAGACTTGTCTATGTTGGTTCATCGCTTCAAGCGGCAGACATCCTCACCAAGCCTTTTACCAACTCCGAGAAGTGGGAATCAGCTCTGCGATTGATGGGTATTTCATCACAGCCCCTTCCGCGGAAGGAGCCACAGAAGATGAAAGCCTGCGCAGGGGAACCTGCACCTTCAACAGTGTCGGGATCTCAGCAACGCGCAGGGGAACCTGCTTGCCCTTCAGTGGCATCTCATAGCAGGGTACTTATTGAATTTTGTTGTGGACCTGATTCGAAGCTTGGTGATCGTTCAAGGAAGCATTCAAAAGATTGTTATGTCGTCAGATGCACAGAGGAAAGAGATGTTACATCTAGGTCGAACAGAATGGACATTCGGAATGAAGTTGTTCAAGCAATTGAGAGTTCAACTGTACAACCTTGTCCAGTTTTGATTTGGATTAGCATTCCCTGCACTGGTGGCACAACCTGGTCATATGTGAACTTGCAACATGAATCAGCCAAACTCAAAGTTGAATATCATCGACATGTTTTTGAAAAGATATGGTCATCAATGGTCGATTTTCTCAATCTTATTCGTCATTTGAGTCCCAAGATTGCAATTGAATGGCCAGCCCATTGCATCTACTGGAAGTTTGACCGAGTTGAGAAGTTTTGTGGAAAACATCAGCTCATTAGAGTCGCATTTGATGGATGCATGGTTGGTATTGTCAACAAAGAAGGTGAATCTATAAAGAAACCATGGGCTATTCAAACCGATTGTGATTCAATTGTCACTGCTTTTGATGGACTGTCATGTGATGGTAGCCATAACCATGTTCAAGGCAGAGGTCATGACTTGAAGGAAACTGAGTCGTATTCCTTTCAGATGACGGACATGATCCATCGAGCTTTCATTGCAGCGACCAGCTCAAAACCCGAACTGACGACTTCTACTGCACTCTGCGCTGTTTCGCTTTCTACATCATCTACCATGGCTTACTTCCGTCGCTTTCCACAAGCAGAGGTCGAGGAGGCAGACTATTCCGCCGCTGCGGAGGCTGCTGGAATTCGACCCGGGGAACCGGAGTCCACCGCTGAAGAGGTGACTTCTTAGAAGCTGCTGGTTTTGCTAATGTGTTAAGTGCATTAACATAGTTAGCTAACTAGTTACTAACTAATTAGAAGTAGTTCTCTAAAGGAAAAAAATCAAGGTTCAGGACAGCTTTTTTCAAAGTTTTGACAGGATAATTTAAGAAACAAAATGGCACCCCACCAAAGAAAAACACGGCAGAATTAAAAAAGAAAATGTTTGGACAGCATGGAAATTTTATCCAAGGTACAAAATGTTGGAAAAAAGATGTCCTTGGAGGAAAAGAAGTTGTGCTTGCCATTGTATACTTTGCAGCCTCAAAGCCATAATTTTGTTATTCTACATGATTTTTTTGGCAAGGTGACTCAACATATAAAATCTTAACCATCACCCAAATATAAAATTGCCATTGCAAGCTTCCACCAAAAAAATGGTTTCAAGGAGAACTTTCATGTAACCTGCAGCCTACATTGGCTGGAAGAGTTGCAGCTCAGATAAGCATGGAAGCTTGTAGAAGCTTTATTTGGACAAGCTTGTAAGAGCTGAAGGTTCTGCGAGCACATTTTTTCATTTTAAGCAAGACAAAGGTGCGGGAGTCAGGCAAGTAATCTGGCCACTTGTTCCTTGTGTGTGAATCACTGGCTGTAAAATGTCTTTCACCTCAATCAGCTGCAGTGAGTCGCTTGAAGATGTCCATTTGCTGGCTTGGGTCCCTGCCCTTGTCCCATTGAAGTGGAACACATCCACCAGGCAAAGCACCATGCCTGCTGCATTGAAGAAATGTTTTGCTCGACCACATCTCCAAAAATCATTGTGGCCACCATAACATTTTTGAAGGAAAACGGCATCATCAGTGTAGCAAGTTGCGCCATTTTGCAAGAGGCAAGAATTTGCACATTCCATCCCAGGGACAAAGCATTGATGCATTTTCAATATGTTTTCCAATTTCTTGGAAGGGGTGCGGGGATCAACCAAGTGACAATCTGTGTTGAACAAATCTGCATTGGTGGCCAATATGCTGATGTGTTCCATGGTAGTGGCTGCCATGATGCCTTTCTCGTAGGTGCTCAACTTGCAATGGGTTCCTCCGAATTTCCTTGGTGTTTTGTGTTTCCTTTCCAATGCCCAACATGCTGGGAGCTGAAGCCATCTCCTGAAACAATCTGAATAGTGCAAGGTCCAGTGCTGCTTCGGTTTCATACCACCCTCAAAACCTGCTTCGACTGTTGCTGCCAAAGCTGCTTCCACCAAAGCCAACAATCTTGCAGGGGAAGGGCTTTGCAGAAAAGGGAGACTGACCAAATAATCAAGGACTTGTGCCCAAGACAAAAAGCATGTGCATTGCTCAACCATCACATTGTTGGCGACATACATCACTTGCAAAAAAAATTGCAATGGCTTATACACTGCCAAAATGTCAGAAGCATCTTCGCATTTGAATGTTCCTGCTTTCCTGCTGTTGGCGACATTTTTGTCTTCAAATAGTTTTCCAATCTTGGAATTTCTGTAGGCCTTTGGGAAGGACCACAATTCCATCCACTTTGCGAGATTGCCCCAAACTTTGTACCCAAAGTTGTGGATGCTTTCCAAAACCAAAAAAATGATGTCATTGAGCACCCCATGACTGCAAAGGCCATGCATGTAGTCGAAGCAGTACAGAGACACAGGCTTCAGCACATTGCAGGTGAGCAATTTCTCGCTAGATAGCAAAGCATGTGGAGAATAGCTCATCCCGACAGCCTGCTGCCATCTCTCAAACTCTTTCTTTGGCATGTTGTTGCATTTGCTGGCTAGTCTTTGCCAGCTGCTGATCACCTCTTCATCTGTAGCAATCTGCAGCTGATCATACTTCAAAAAATTGCTGAACACCTTGCCTCCGCCTCCTTCCAGAGTGTCTGCATCCTTCAACTGGAACAAATTCTTGCAAAGGAAGCAAGGTTTGCTCCCTGTGTCCTGCCTATTGGACCACACTGACTTTTGGGCGCCACCATCTTGCAAAATCATGCTCAGGGTGAAATGCAGCCTCAAAGACCCCTTGGATGATGTCAAGAGCACACCTGTCTCTGGCAACCCATCTGCAAAGATGCTTTCTAAGACCAAGCGAAACATTTGTGACATACCTGCTGCAAGGTTGCAAATTTCTGCACTTCTGCAAATGGCTATGCAGAACCAACAATCAGACTTCGTCAAGAACCTGTTGAGCTCCAAAAATGATATGTAAATACACCAAGCTTTCCTGGATGAGGAATTCAACATGTTCCCTGGGTGCATCTCATCAGCGTATGCCACACATCTCCAAGGCTTGGTGAAAGATGATGGCACCTTCGCATGCAAGTGGAGCAAAAAGTCAGTGAACGCACCTCCTTGGCGGAAAGCACCAGCCAGCAAAGACAGAAAGTTGAGGTAAAGGACTTGTTTCTTTGTATTGTCCACTGTGGTGGCTTCTGCTGTCTGAAAAAGAGGCCCATACATGGACATGCTTGAGTCTTCCAAGAAGTTGTTGGTTTCCTCCCAAATGGCATGTCGGGAATGTTTTTCAGGTAGCCCACCTTTGTCAATCTCCTTGCAAATGGCAGCTAAAGCACTTTGGGAACAGAAAGGAAGGGAAGCCCTCAAGTCGCTGATCTTTCTCTTCTTTGCATCTGGCTGGCCATCACCCATGGCTTCCAAATCTAACTAAAGCTGCCACAAGTGCTTAGCATGTCGAACCACATGGACGCAAAGTGGATGGAACATGCTTCTGTTCAAACTTCAAAAAAAATCCTCTGGGATTATGTGCCATGCACTGTCCTGAGCTGGTCTCAGCTGCAGCAAGAAATAGCATAGGCTGAAAGGTGATTGAAGCACCAAAGGCAGGTGGCAAGTGAGCAAAAGGGGGGAGTTTGAAGCCTCCATGGGCTAATGGGAATTCATTGAGCCTTCAAAGGCTGGTTGCTTGGAAGCCTCCATTGGCTATTAGGAATTGAGCCTGCAAAGGCTGGCTGCTTGGAAGCCTCCATTGGCTATTGGCCATTGAGCCTGTACTGGCTGGCTGCTAGGTGCTCTGCAATGGCCTTTTTGCCTTTTTGCTGGTGCTGAAAGGTTTCAGAAGTGTTCTGGCGCCAAGTCCTCCACAGATGGCATTTTGCCAAACTCCATGTAATACTTCACTTCAGTCAGTGCGCATTCAAATTGACTTTCAGAAAGGCCCATGTTGCCACTGATGCCACGCATGAAGTCATTCAGTGGTTTCCACTCCATCCATCCTGGTATGGCAAGAATTTGCTTCACATGGTGATGTTTTTTGTATTGGAAGCACAACCAAAGACTAGAAGATCAGCAGTCCTCCAGGCAAGGTGGTGACATGCCAGTAGGTCTTGGTGCCATCCCTGTGGACCCAAGTCTTGAGGACGGCGGTGCATCCCTCAGAGTCACTATTGCTAATCATTTTCAGTTTCGAACCAAGATGCTGCTTGAGTACCAATGCCAACAAAAGCAAGAAGCACCCAAACAGACAAAGCTTATAGGAGCTTTGTCAAAATGTGGACAAAAGCTTGCAGCAGCTGACTGGGCATTACATGCCAAAAGAGATTTGTTTTCAAGCTGCTGCGATTGTAGTCTCACCTTGGCAGGTGTTCCAGCACAGCTGGCCAGGTGTGACCAGCTGTGAAACCCCTAAGTGATGCACTTCTTTGAATGCACATCATAACCCACTTGTGGCGCTACTTCAAGCCATGGAGCTTTGCATAAGCCAAATATTCAGACTTAAGCCAAATTTGCCCGCTGAAACTTGGGTCTCTGCACTGAGGGCACCCATTGGCTCTGCACTTGGAGCAGCCTCTCTTCTCAGGCACTGAAGCTCGTGGCAAGCTCCCAGCAGAAGCTGAAGGATAGGCTTTTGCCTTTGCTTTGCAGGCACTGCTGCTAGCGGTTGAAGCTGCAGGCCTCTTCATGGCTTGCTTTCTATGAGATCCCACTTTGGCAGAGCTCTTGGCACCTTTGCCTTTGGCTTTCCCGCCTTTGCCACTTAGTGCAGCAGCTTTGACAGCTTTCTCAACTTTCTTCACTTTGCTCCTTTGCTCTCTTTGCAGAAGCTGCTGCATGTTCTGTTCTTCGAACTCCTCCAAAGATTTCCGGGAATTCTCATTGGCAGCAGGAATCTGTTGCTGATCATGCTTTTGTTGGTCTTCTAAGGCTGGAAGGCTACTGGTCACAGGACCCGTCAGGGGCAAAGGCTGCGAAGCTGTGGCGCTGGAAGCTGGCTTCTCTCCAGGGTCCAAAAGCTGAATGTTTGCTCCACTAGCCCCTCTTGCCAAAATTCTGTCGCCCACCTCAGAAAAGCGGCCCAGAATCTTCCAAATCACTTCATCCGCAACAGCTGCAGAACCGGAAGTACCTGTTGGTTGCACTTGCGCTTGGGTGGCCAGCTTGTTGTCCTTAGATGCATAACATGTTACCCAAAATAGAATGATTGAAAAGGAGAAGCCTGCACAGGCTTGTGGAGCTAGCAAGTTGTACTTGTAGAAAAGGAAACTTGACTGTGAAGTTAAGGTTCCTTGTTGGCATTCACAGAGCTGCTGCTGTTTCTGACAGGCACAGTCTTGGGGTTCAAGAGGGCTGCCAAACCAGGAAAATCTATCTTTGCTGGCTTTTCATCCTTGTAGGCAGCAGCGAAGTGTTGAGCATTCATTCCTTGAGGGTCATCCGGATACTTGGCCAATTTCATCGCTTTCTCTGGAATCTCTGTGGGAGAAGTCTGCAGAGCTTGCATCATATGCTTGCTCAGATTGTAGACCAAGTCAGGGTGTGGAAGCTTCTGAGTCTTTTCCCTTTCCAGCCACACCAGAATGCCACAACAGAGTCGCTTCAAGCTCTCCTTCATGCCTTCGACCCCCAACAGTCGCAATCTGGAAGCCAAAATGTCGCATCCTTCCCACATAGAAGCACTCTGAAGCGCAGAGATGTCCTAAGCAGTGAGGTACTTGTGGAAAGTCTTGCAATCTTGTGAAGAAGCAACCACCTTCCCAACACATTGAGGCTCCAGAACCTCGCCAACTGCCATACCATCCAATGTGCTAAGAATTTCTTGCCTGATGCGATCAGGAAGATTGGCAGACCTTGCGGTGTCATAGATCTGAACCAAGGCGCTTGCTTCAATGTTTAAGATGCTCTTGAGCTTGTTCTTCAAAGAATTGCAAAGCTTGTCCTCTAGGTCAATGACACCAGGTCTCGCTTGCAGCAGTCTGGTCATCGCATCAATTTCTACACTTATGTCAGCAGATGTCCAAGACATTTTGTTTGGACCTGCAGGCAGCGCCAAAGTCTAAGACCAAATGCTGCAAACAGCAAAAGAATGTATTGGACCAAGGAAGCTTGCACTGGCCTAGAAGCATTGCAATTTGAAAGCCCAAGTAGCTTTTACAGGCTTTGGAAGCTGAAGCCTTCACAGGCTGCAAAAACCACAGCACCAACATGAGCCTTTACAGGCTATCCAAGAATTGTTTTACCATCAAGGGCTTGAGAGATTTGTTGATGCTTTTCTGCAACCACCATGCTCTTTGTAGGTTTAAAGAGCTGACTCGAATCCTGCAGCATCCAGTGACGGCTTGTTGTGCTATATTTTTCCCCCAGGTCCAATTTGCAAAGCTTAGTGAAGTTAATTTGTACAAAAGCGCTGCAAGGTTCTAGGTTGAACCATGAATTTCTTCTAGGTGCAAGAACACCACATGCAAACTAATTCATGTCCAGGCCTGCTTCCTCAGATGATCTTTAGTTTCCTCTTTTCACCTCTGTGTTGTGGTCTTCATCAGGACTAGGATCATCAGGCTGTCTAGGTTGTGTAGAAGCTGGAGCTGCAGGTCCTTCCCAAGGAATGTTGAAATACCGCCTCCACTTTGCAAATTGCAAGGCCCACCAGGTGGGAGCACCATCTTCCCATACAGCAACTTGAGAATCTTCATCACCATCCAAAATGATGTCTCCAATTTTGAAAGGATTGGCAATTTCGTCATCGCTGAACTCCTCTAGAATGTGGGTGTTTTCTGCCATGGCTCTATCAGTGGTAGCTTAGTCGAGCTAACTTAAAGTGTTAATGCTTTTGTTTTGAATTTTTGATATTTGAGTTTTGAATTTAGCTGGCTAATTTGAAATCCCAAAATTTGATATTTGAATTTAGCTGGCTAAATTGAAATCCCAATTTTTGACATTTGAATTTAGCTGGCTAAATTGAAATCCCAAATTTTGATATTTGAATTTAGCTGGCTAAATTGAAATCCCAAATTTTGACATTTGAATTTAGCTGGCTAAATTAAAACCTTAAAATTTGACTTTTGAATTTAGCTGGCTAACGTGAAATTTAACATGTTTCATTCTCGATTTTAAATTTACCTTGAAGATTAAAGCCACATATGGTTTCTTCTAACATCTTTGCGTGCAAAAACTTTGATTTTTTCCTGCTGTCCTTATGGTTGAGCCAAGCAAATCACCAAAAATAAATAGCGATCCGATGATATAGTCTAAAGCTCAAATACTGCTAGACCTGAAGCCTATATAGGCTAAAAGAATGAGCCTCTAAAGGCTACTGCAGGGCTTCAACCAGCTCATTTTTCCACAAGCCTTTGGAAGATGTTTCTTCAGGCAGCATTTTTACAGGAACCTCTTGTAGGCTCTGTCGCCTTCCTCACGGACCTTCCTCTCCAATCTGGCAGTAGAACTTTTCAGGCTATGGTGCTCACTGAGTCGTTCCAAGGCTTTGTCCAGCATGTCGGTCTTCTTATTCTTCCATAGGTGACAGAGAGCTGTGCACTTGTTGAGCCAGCCACCAGCCTTCATGTTCTCTGGTGCCTCAGGTGTAGGATGATTCATGAAGTTTGATGTGGGCCTATAAAGGCTTTGGATCACATAAAAGGTTTGAAAGACAAAAAGTGCACATGCTGCTAGGATGCTGCTCTGTTGATCCACCTGCCCCATCCTGTGTCCTTTCTCCAGTAACACCATGCCTCTTCGTCCTTGTTGTCCAAGTCTTTCTCCCACCAGGTGTCGCCATCCCAGCCATACTCATATTTTTCCTGCTGCTGATGGTCGTCGGGTTGATCTGCTACACCATGCTGGGCTTGAACTTGGCCTTGTTGGTATGCTGCTACTGCAGCAATCAGCTCTTTGTTCAACTTCTCCTCGTCCTCGTCCTTGCAAGGTACTGCGGGTGCGCTCTTGGGAGGTGTTACTGGTGCTTGTGCAGGTGGAGTCACTGGACTCACTGGAGCTGGAGGTACTGCTGGTACAGCTTTTGCCTTGCTTGTAGCTGCAGCCTCAGGTAGGCATACTTGCTTGCTAAAAACTGCAAACTAATACACTTGAGCCTCTATTGGCTAAGCATTGATGTAGAGCCTTGACAGGCTAAAGACTGACAAGAGCAATAGCAAATAAAAACATATTTTGATCTGGTCCAGGAACAGGTCCTACACGCTTGTTCAGAGGGGGAGGTAGTCTGCCAACCTTCCTTCTCTTGGGTGCAGGTTCTCCTTCCAGTGGTTGTGCCTGCCAAGCTGGTGAAAAGGAATGTAGTATAATACAACAATACAAGTTACTGCTTTAAACATACACCAATTCTTGCTGTCGAGCCTTCAGTGCCTGAATTTCTTTTGCGCTGGGTTCACCTCTTGGTGATGGAGGTTCCTCAGATATCTCATAAGCAACAGAAATTGCACATAAATTTTGAGCCTGCAAAGGCTAATGAAATTTGAGCCTGTAAAGGCTAATGAAATTTGAGCCTGTAAAGGCTAAGCCCGGGCATGATCTCAAAAGCCTCTAGTGGCTATATTGGTGATTTTTAGCAAAGTTGCTGTGTCCTTGTCGCAGTCTTTGACTTTGGGATCCTCCAAGGGCTCCTCCTGTACTTCTTCATATTCCTGCATTTTTGTCATATCAGACAGTAAGATGTGGAAACCATGCCAGCATTAAAACAAAATAGCCCTTGTAAGGAGTGTGTGTGTGTGCCTCCTCCTTTACTTTTTCTTGCACATCCGCTGGCTCAGAAGCTTCTGCCACCACCTGTCACACCCAAGCATGCGGTGCCAAAGCAAAACCAATGAAATTGAGCCTGCGGTGGCTGAAGAAAACAATAACACACACAAACCCAAACAAATCCAAACACAGACACGCACACACAAACAGACAAACAAAAACCCATTCCTAAAACACAACCCCATGCTGTCCTTCTGATACCATGCTCTTTCAGCTGCCTTCCCCTCTTCCTGACATGGTGTGCGGGACAAAAAAACATTTCATATCCACCCTAAGAAGTAACAACATGCCTAGTTTTTTGAATGTGGCTCAGTTTTTTTTATCCCACTAAGGTTTTATTTAAGGTAGAACCAGTTTTTTTTGTGGTAACTAAACTCAAAACATGATTTTGTCCCAGGCACCTCCAGCTCTTGGGCCCTGTCTGCCCATTCCGCGCACAGGGACGTCCACTTGTTGGGATCCATGCCCCACTTGTAGAGGAAAAACTATAAGCAAAGCAAATACATTTAGCCATAGGTACAGCCAGCGCAGAAATTGAATTGACTATAACAAGAACAGCTTTTACTAACTGAAACACCAGCCTGCACAGGCTACATGTGAAACAAGAGAAGCATCTAGTTGCTGAAACTCAGCTTTTAAAAGCTTAGAGAAAAACCAGCTCCTTTTTTGCCAGCCACCTGCGCACAAGTAGGTCAATCTGACTCATCAAGTCTTGGCTTCTTGGTGTGGGTGCCACTCTTCACATAGCTCCTTTTGTTTCCTTTTGTAAGACACTCATCAATATTTTCCATGATAAAATCACAGACCTTTGTAAGCGAGGCAGGGTCCAAGGGCACCAGGATGTCGGTTTCCTTCCAAGACTTTGGCGTTTTCAATTCCACCGCATGGGAGCCAAGCTGGACAGAGACTTTTGGAGGGGCCTTGAGCAATTTATCCTTGTACTCATTCTTCTTGGGGCCCTTCTCATCTTTCTCAACGCTTTCTGTTTTCTCATCTTCAAAGGGGTCTGGCCCTTCTGCTTCCATGGCAGAAACTGAAATGCCAACAGCTTCCTTGATCTTCTCCTGGATGGCCTTCAGCTGGGGCGAAGCTGCCAGAGAGGGGTTCTTGACCTCCTTGTAGGCAGGCATGTGACCAAGCACCAGCCTAGTGATAATGTGGTTGCTTGCCCTAAGCTTCAAAAATGTTTCTCCATCATCACCGTGAAGGACCAGGCTGTCAGGAAGATAGACTTGGGGCCCATCCCTGTAAGTCAACGCAATGACTTCAGAGACCTGCATGGCTGGTTGCACAAGCAAGTGGCAGAACCCTAGAGAGCCAAAAGAGACAAAGAGTAAAACTGAAACCCTTGAAGGGAACAAAGCTTGCAGAAGCTGGGGACCCATGCCAGCCTGTAAGAGCTGCCAGCCACCCAAGCACATCAAAAAGCTGTTTACACCAGCCTCCATTGGCTTGAAGCTCGGCAAGTTCTTTTGGATCACAGATGCAGCAGTCAAATGTTGAAGCATGTTTGCACATGTAGGCGCTGGACAAGTGGCAGGGCAGCTCATTTGACCTTCCTCTTCTTCGTTCCATCTTCTGATGGCTCACAAAGCAAGGCAACACCCTTGTCAATTTGCTTCTTGTTGGTGCACGCAGGGATGTGCAAAGGGCCAAGTTTCACTGAATGCTTTTGCAAGCAAGCATCTTCAGGTTTTGCTGCTTCCTTGACCATCCAATATGGGATGAACAGCCCACTCCCCTTTGGGAAATCGCACCTCCATGGTTGCACCACATAGACTTGGCCAACTAAGTCATTGGAAGTGATGATGCACTGTGTCTTCGAAACTTGGTCAGCAGAGGCTACTTGCAAGGAGCCCATAGGAAGCAGTAACAGCTTGCCCTTGTTGATCTTGCTGCCAGCAAAGATCTGGTTCTGATTGGAAACCAGCACATCCACGTCTCCAATCCTGATGCTGAAAAAGCACACAGAACATTACACAAAGACATTTTAATAGCACGTTCAGAAGCCACCTTTGCCACAACACAGTAATGCAGTTGAGGTGCTCTTGGAATTTCTCATATAAGGCAACTTGTGCTCGAGCTTTGGCCAACTCCTCCTGCATAAATGGAGAAGCACAAGGAAGCATCTTGGACCTCACAGCGTCACCAACCAAGTGAGGTACTTGCTTGGTCCATTCTTTCAAGATTTTCAAATCTTTGTGCAAGACTTCCTTCCTCTCCTCAGGTTCGAAGAAGGGCCTATGTACCAACTTCACCCTTTCATCTGTCACATCTGTCAAGAGCCAAATCTTCGTCTCATTCTTGAAGGTGTAGTGGCCCCCCAGCTTGATGTGCTTGTGGGCCTGCAAAGCAATGGCTTTGGCATCAGTGGCTTCAGCCAAAGCCTTCACAGAACTCTTGTCATCGGAGCTTGCAGCAGCCTGGGAACTTTGCTCTGGATTGGTGGTGACATTCACAATGTCCTTTGCAAATTTCTCTTTGATCTCTGCCATGTCCTTGTACTGCACCATCTCCCTTCCTTTTTTCTGCAAGAGATGCAAAGCAAGGCGCATTTGCAGCTTCCCAAATGGCAGTGCCATTTTTTCCAAAGGTAGCTGGGCATGCGTCGCCATATTCCAGCCTGCATGCATGATAGCTTCTGCTTTCAAAACTTCTGGCACCATTTTCTTGTTCTTCAACTTGTCCCAGTCTGCTTTCACCACCAGCCTGCTGAAGCCATCCTTGATGGCATGCTTTGGCGCGGTGATCTGGCAGCATGCCAAAGCCACCCGAATGAAAGGAAAGGTGGTGCTTGGCTCCTTCCAGTCGCAATGGGCTAAGAGGTTGGTGAATTCCTCACCAAAGTGCGTGGTTCCACCAAAGTGTTTGCCTTAGCTTTGCCATGCGCATTACAACACCAAAACTTGCAAAATGTGGCAGGGGCCTTTATTGGCTCTGGCTCTGTATGTAGCTGGTCTCAGCTTGAAAAAATCGAAAAGGCATCAGAAGCCTTTATTGGCTTTGGTTTTGGCAAGCTTGCATTAGCTACACAGACACTTGCACATGGAAGCAGAAGCTTTTACTAGCTTTCGGTTTTCATGCAGCTGAGGCACCAATGTAGTCCAGGTACTTCAGCAATTCAAAGGACTCTCCACCAGCAAAATTAGCCACGAAGTCGCCCACAGACTTGATGTAAGCTTTGCAAGGGGGGACTGAAGCAGCAGCTTGAGCAACTGCTTTCTTGAGGTCCTTTTGCCCTTCTGGCTGCATCCTGTAGAAAGTTGCAATACTAAGGGCCACTTCCAACTCATTGGGCGCTTTGGCGATGCTGTGGTCGCCTAGTTGCAAATGGCGAAAAGGAAAAGCAAAAAAAGTCCCTTAGCAACTTTGGGGAAGCATGTCACACAAAACATCCTTAGCAAATTAAGTGACAGTTGTATGCTTGCTGCAGCACTGACAATACTGCAGGAACTTCTTCTTCCACCTTGGCAGATACCACTGTCCAAAGCCAGCCATCTGAAATCATCGTCTGCAAGTCATCACCTTGATGTAGCAGCTGCTCGATTGAAGTATCATCAGGAAGCTTGCAGCCATTTTCCACGCATCTCAAAAAAGCAGTTGTGTGGCTGGCTGAAATTGAGGCAATGGTCTCTTGGCCAGATGGCTTTGCCATAATCCCGCCAGATTGGTCATGCAACCTCTGATTGGCATCAAAGATTGCATCCCTTTGGGCCCCTGAGCCAATTTGGACGCCAACAGGTGACCTGACCTTTGCCAGCTCCCACCCCACTTCTGAAATGGCAAGGCCTTTTTGCAGGACATCGTGTGGGTTGCACATCTGCCCAGATCTGTTCTGGGGATGTACCAGCACCTGATTTGGTTTCAGCTTGCTGCTCCACACCATCCCTGCTTTCTCCAGCTCTGCCATTGTCTTTGATGCCTTCATGTTGATAGGCAAAGCATCATCTGCCAACAACTTCTGGACTTCCTTCACCCAAGGGAGAGACATGGCTATTTTGGCGACAATCAAAATTCCCAGCACTGGAAAAATGCATGTGCACTGCCCTGGGTGGCGAACTACATGGTGGGTTGTTGCACACCTTTGCAAAAGCCTTCTGGTAGCTGTATTCACCTGTGTTGAACGTGCTTGCTCCTTTGTCATGCTTGTTTGTTGCGCATGGTTGCTTCTAGCCATAGAAGCTGCCAGAAATGCAGCTGCCATGTATTGGTTGGAAATTGAAGCCTGCAACGGCTGTTGCATGTGAGCCTGCAAGGGCTTAGCAGAAGAAGCTTCCAAGAGCTGAAAGAAGCCTGCAATGGCTAGTCATGGTGCCTGCAATGGCTATTCATGAAGCCTGCAGTGGCTACTTATGGAGCCTGCAATGGTTACTCATGGAGCCTGCAATGGTTATTCATGAGTCCTTATAGTCTTGCAAAGTGAAGGCCAAGGCTGAAGCGCACCATGGTGTTTTTGTAAAGAAAACTTCTTTAGCCTTGGTTTCTTTGGCGTTTGGAATGACATTTTTGGGATATCTTAATTTTAGGGTGTTTTTAGCTAACTATTTACAATTCTGCTAATGTTTTAACATAATTACAAGAATTAGCATAACCTTTAACATACATTACCTAACATACATAACTTCTAGAATTTTTAGAATATGTTATACACTGTTATAATGGTTTACAACCTTATTAGGAAGCACTTATCAAATTGTTAATAACATGCGTAAATCTTGTAACACATTAGCAAAACCAGCAGCTTCTAAGTTTGGGGCCCAATGGAAAGGCGTGGTATGCGTTGACTGGGAGCATTTTTGGCTCTGTCACGCAGTGTCGTGTGGTAAACGAAGCTGATGTGATTTCGGATTTGACATCCATCATGGGGAACACTGACCACTCGCTGTTGGCCAAAGGCTACCTCCGAGACGTCAGCCCAGAAGACGCGAAGCTCCTCGACGGCGTTTCCAGCTTCTCACTCAGAGGCATGGTATGCCCAGGGGAACCTGAGGCCAACTTCATCTTTGCCGGAGATTCTTCGATGGCACTTGTGGACATGGTCGACGGTTACGCTTCTACGCGCAGGAACATCGGCGAGTACATCAAGGAGAAGCCGGACCTCCTCCCACCAGGCCGCAAGACGGTCTGGCACGATCTCAAATGGGGTCGTGGGCTGCCTGACATCATCAAGGGCGTCGAGCACTCTCTTGAATGTTTGCAGCGGAGGGGAACCTCTCGCCCATCTGTCATTGTCATCTCTTATGCTGGCAACGATATTTTTGGGAACTACGGCTTCCTTCACTGTGATTGGCTTGACAAGGAGATGGCATGCTACTCCCAAAAGCGCCGTGACGCAGCAAACGATCTCATGGAGGAAAGGGTCAATACCCATTTCTCCGCTTTGAACGACCTCGTGAAGCTGACGACACGTGCCGACGTTGGGAACATCGTCCTTATCATGCCATGGTACGGCAGGGGGTATGGGTTGCACCCCGACTATGACCGTCAAATGATTCGCGAAGCTGAGGCTTTGAGGAAGCGCGGACTCTGCGTCCTCGATGCCACGTCGCTTATCAAGTGTACTACACGATACGACGGCCAGCACATGGAGAATTCGGAGCACAACCGTCTCCAGTGCATTCGCTTCTATTCCGAAGCTGGCGCTCTCGGCTATCATCTTTTTCGACTTCGGTCGTGCAAGCCATTGATTGAGATGGCTGAGATGAAGAAGCGCCGCGAGGAATCGCTGGCCAACCCTCAACCTGAAAACAACCCTCAATGGGAAGAGATGGAAGAAGTGTTGGTCTCCATGGACGTGGACGGTTGGGAAATCTATGTGAAGGAGACCCGACCCAAAGGGCAACGGCTTCCCAATGAAGTTGACCCCGCACGTGCACAAGTCGCACAGGCTCCTACGGTGCAGGATGATGCCACGGTGGCCTCATCGAACTGGCAGCTTTTGGAGTCCGTGGATGCTGCACTGCCGGGGGAACCCGAGCACTTTGAACCGCATGAGGTCAAAGAGCCGGAGATGGATGGTGAGCTCATCGACGCCATCCTCAAGCCCTTTTTGGATCGGTTGCCGGGTGTTTCCGACGAGCGTGACATTGACGAGCCGGATGCTGACGAGGAGATTGTCTTCAGAGAACCCATCGTCGGCGGCTCAGCATCAATGTTTAGCCAGCGGAAGCTGCGCTCCCATCTGATGAACAAGATCCATGCTGTGGACTTCAGATTGGATGGTTCTGGCGTACTGAACATCTTGGACACCGACGTCACGCGTGACCCTGCCAAGCTCGAACTTCGGCAGGAATCCATGCAGCAGACCGAAGAGGGTGCAGTCATCATTCGTCGCTTTGACTTGACGGATGAGGAGAAGCATCGTCAAATGGAACGGGAGATCTTTGAGGAGCCCAAGACCGCCGAGGAGAAACTTCGCGCGGGTGACCCTGCTGCCACTGTCCAGATCATGTCGAAGGCCAAGTCGAAGGCGGCTTCCTTGTCCGAAGCGGCATCATCTTCGAGCGGCATCTCACAGGTGATCGGGGACACTGTCAGCCAATTCATCAAACCAAAGATGAGGGATCAGGCCACCATGATTCAGCCGAAGCCTGTCCCAAAGATCCCAAAGATCTCAACGGCGACGGGAACGTCTCCCATGGCGTCCCCAAAGCCCAGTCCGCCACCGACTCCGAAGAGTGCAACTGGATCCCCCAAGCCGGAGCCACCTGCACTCCCAGCGGAAGCTGCGGACCATCCAATGCCCAAAGCTTTGCCCTTTAAGGCACCGCCTGCAACGTTGACAACAACCTCACCGAGGGCACCTCCGCAGAAGTCATCGGCGCCTGCAGCTACGTCTTCATCGGAGCCTGCCCCGAAGATGGCCAAGAAGGAGCCGCCTACGGCAAGTGCTCCTCCCCCGGGAACGGGTGGACCTCAGCCTCCGGCTGAACCGCCCTTGCGACCACAGGGATACCCCAAGTAGTACTTTTTCTCCCCGGGAACGGGCGAGCGCAGGGAATTCACCGTTCGGTGTACAGACCTGCCAGGCCTGAGGGACCTTGGAAGACTCAGTCATGATGATTTCAAATTTTCAAAGAGGGTGACCGGGCTGCTCCGTGGATATGATCACAAATTCCTCGAGGCGCATCATCGCCATATTCCTCCTGAATTTGATGAGGAGCTGTACTTGAACTTTGAGTCCATGTACACGTACCTCCGAAAGCGGCATCGTGCTCAGCTTTCGCGACAGGACCTGTACCTGATTCTTCGAACTCAGGACAGGTTCATGTGCCGAATTCAGTCTGGAATTGTCGGGGAACTGACAACCATGGACATGCCCTACCGCATCACCCACGTGAAGGCCTGCCAAGGCCATGACCAGTCGCTCATTGACAAGGTGGGAACGGCTCCATTGGTCAAGCAAATCATCTCGCTTGACTACCAGTTCACGGTCGAGGATTTGAAGAAGGGATTCTACCCCAGGGTTCCCATTTATCCTCACCTGGCGGAAGCCGAGGTCTCAGAAGAGTTTAAGGTTATTTACCGTCACTTCATGGGACTCCCTCCAGCAGATCATTTGCACGGGGATTTTTCCAGGGGCCACTTCATGCAAGGGTCATGTGTATATGACCCGCCATGCGCCTTGGGAAATCGAAGGCAAGGATCCTGGTGTCAGGACGAACCGACCGCTGTGCATCGCGATCGACACCGATTGTGCTTTGCACTATGGTCTTCGCCTGGTGGAAACCTTGGCCGGTGCACTCATCACTGAGGACTGGGTGCCCAATCATTGCCTCATCTACGCATTCGATTGCGAGAAGTCGCAATACCTTTGGGCGAACCATGGCTACAACGGTGTGAAGAAGTACCTTCGGCAGAAGGCCTCCGAGAACGCTCTCACTTGGCAAGAGAACGAGGCTCGGAAGGGCACTCCCAACTACGACGAACTCGAGAGGTACGAGATTTCGGACCTGGAGGTGTTGAAGAACATGTTCGTGAATGAGTA